GGGATGATTTAGTTGGGGTTGGTCCTGCTGTGGACAGGGGGTTGGACTCAATGTCCTCCTGAGGTCTTTTCCAACCCTATGGGTACATCTAGACTACAAGCCTCTTTCAAAAGAGAGTGTCTAGACTACAGCCAGTACTTTTGAAAAAGTGAGTTGCTTTTTCTAAAGAGAACACCCAGGCAGTCTGAACGCTCTCTTTTGAAAAAGCACAGTTCGCATTCAATAACACCTTTTTTCGAAAAAGCACTGTCAAGAAAAGGCTTTATTCCTTATAAAATTAGGTTTTCTATGATCGAAAAAACTACCGCATTCTTTCAATTCAGTTTTGAAAGAATGCAGCGGCAGTCTAGACACAGGGGAAATTTTTTTTTTAAAAAAGGCCACTTTTTTTTAAAAAAAAACCCATAGTCTAGACACACCCTATGATTCACTGTGAGAGACTATACAAATACCTGTAATTATACTATTGAAGGAGTAAGTATCAAAGCTTTCTGGGATAGCATTTGCATTTGTGTGCAAGGTGCATGAATGCAAAGAATTGACAAGCCTAGTGTTTTCTGGGAGGAAGAAACATACTACTCTATATCCTAATATTAATTGTAAAGGTTGGTTTTCAGTTCAGGTCAGTTGCTTGATTAAATGTACTGATCAGGAGCGACCCATGGATGTAGGCAACCTCAGCAGTTGCCTAGGGCACCGCATTTAACGCCAATGATGACGCCATACCATTGATGGCTATGGAGGCGGGGGCGCCAATCGCGCATTCTGCCTAGGGCGCAAGTTGCCGGCAGCTCTCCTCGAGACGCTCCTGGTACTGATGGACTAGTTAGCTGTCTGCAGAAATCCTCTTGCCATTTTGAAGTCCAGCATATACACTTAATATCCCCAAACTCCTATTGTTTCAATCTGAGGAGCTAAGTAACTTGCCTTTTTTACCCTGTTATTTGTAACAGGGCAGTAAGTTCCATTTAACATCTGGTAACATACCTTTCACATATTACTGCATGTATGTGTGCTGCGTATGCACACATGACTGCTCTCATCATAGGTTTTTTCTAATATTTGCAAGTTTCAAAGCCCGTTATGCTGTTCACTGCTCTGCACAGTCCTTTCATTACAGAAACAGCTGCTAGCACAGTGCTAGCTATGGGTTTGTCAGAGTTTCCATTATAAACCCCTATTTTCAAGGACTTGCTGCAACTTAGCAATAAAAATTCACTCCAAACTCAGACTTGGCATAAATGGTCTCTAATGGGAGAATGAATAGTTAAACAAAAGAAATTCACTATCGCTCTGGAGACGGTTTCTTCCAAGTTTATATTACATCCCTTTGAAACACCAGGCTCCAGGGCAACTGCCTTGTTTGCTGCCCCACCCCCCAGTCAGTGGGCTGGTTGGTAGGCACTTGCCTTATGCTGCAATCCTGTGAGATTTCACTGGTTAAGCAGAGTGGTTCCATACTAGGTTGGGAGAACTCTAAAGAAAACCCAAGGGCTGAAGGAAGTGATGATGTGATTCACTAAGCGGCATCCTTTCCTCTGAGTCAGTCCTAAACAAAAGCTCGCGCATAGTGTTAGGAGAACTGCACCTTTGGACTTGCTGTCATTCAGAGGAGGTGGAAATCAAACATCCTGTCCACTCCGGTCACAAAAAAGATAGCAATTTTTTTCAGTCAAAAAATTTAGACCAGTTATATAGCCACTAAAATACCACAACCATGTATGATACCATACTGTCCTCTATACCATCCTGGCAATGTAAAGGAGCCTTAAAACTTTCACCCCTTTTATGTACTTCTGGGGAATTCACAAAGACAATAGAAAAAATGTACTAAGCAGGCAGGCTGCTACATTCTGCTCTGCCCCACGTCTACATTCACAGAAATACCTCAAAGCCCTGCCTCTCCATGCTGAGCGTGCCACAATAGCAAGCAAGAGGAGCAGAGGGTCTTTTTCTCACTCACATATGACTGCCCAGTCCCTGAACTCCCACACACATATCTACCTGCTGCTCCAGGTGCCCAAACCAACCAGCCTGCTCTGCTGGGGAGGAGGCACATGACTGCTCTTGCAGACTTCTCTTTGCTTCTCCATTAGAAATCATTTTGCTATGAAGAAGCAAAAAAATCTGTGAAGGACATAAATTCTACACATGCACAATGATGCAGAATTCCCCCAGGAGAATTACATATTTTTTATTTTTGATGCATATAATACCCTTTGCCCACAAATAACTATTTAAAATAACAAAGTCACAGCCTTCAAAGTTTTATTTCTTTTTTTAAAGCAAGCATGGCAAGGTGATTTCAGTTCGAAAAGCAGCTACTGCACAAAACACTACCAAAAGTAGGAAGAATTTTAAAGGCAGACTTTCATAGGTAGGGCTGATCCTTTTAAGGTGTTGTGCCTAGTTATCTAGCACAGGTGAGGCTGAACAGGGCAGCTGAGTCAGGTGACCTAGATCAATAGCAGCCTTGGGTTGGGCCTTCCTATAAGAGGGCATCTGATGCAGTAGGGAGAAGAAAGGGAGAGGCTTCCAGGAAGGTGCTTCTAGTGGGAATTCAGGCAATTGTACTTACAGGCTAAAAGTGCTGATTCTGTAGAACCTTAAAGACATGAGTTATCCCATTGACTTCAGTGAAGTTACTCATACATGTAGAGCTCAGGATGACTATGTCTACTCTCGCGGCTTCTTGTGCACAGGGGGTTGGACTCAATGTCCTCCTGAGGTCTTTTCCAACCCTATGGGTACATCTAGACTACAAGCCTCTTTCAAAAGAGAGTGTCTAGACTACAGCCAGTACTTTTGAAAAAGTGAGTCGCTTTTTTGAAAGAGAACACCCAGGCAGTCTGAACGCTCTCTTTTGAAAAAGCACAGTTCGCATTCAATAACGCCTTTTTTCGAAAAAGCACTGTCAAGAAAAGGCTTTATTCCTTATAAAATTAGGTTTTCTATGATCGAAAAAACTACCGCATTCTTTCAATTCAGTTTTGAAAGAATGCAGCGGCAGTCTAGACACAGGGGAAATTTTTTTTTTAAAAAAGGCCACTTTTTTTTAAAAAAAACCCATAGTCTAGACACACCCTATGATTCACTGTGAGAGACTATACAAATACCTGTAATTATACTATTGAAGGAGTAAGTATCAAAGCTTTCTGGGATAGCATTTGCATTTGTGTGCAAGGTGCATGAATGCAAAGAATTGACAAGCCTAGTGTTTTCTGGGAGGAAGAAACATACTACTCTATATCCTAATATTAATTGTAAAGGTTGGTTTTCAGTTCAGGTCAGTTGCTTGATTAAATGTACTGATCAGGAGCGACCCATGGATGTAGGCAACCTCAGCAGTTGCCTAGGGCACCGCATTTAACGCCAATGATGACGCCATACCATTGATGGCTATGGAGGCGGGGGCGCCAATCGCGCATTCTGCCTAGGGCGCAAGTTGCCGGCAGCTCTCCTCGAGACGCTCCTGGTACTGATGGACTAGTTAGCTGTCTGCAGAAATCCTCTTGCCATTTTGAAGTCCAGCATATACACTTAATATCCCCAAACTCCTATTGTTTCAATCTGAGGAGCTAAGTAACTTGCCTTTTTTACCCTGTTATTTGTAACAGGGCAGTAAGTTCCATTTAACATCTGGTAACATACCTTTCACATATTACTGCATGTATTTGTGCTGCGTATGCACACATGACTGCTCTCATCATAGGTTTTTTCTAATATTTGCAAGTTTCAAAGCCCGTTATGCTGTTCACTGCTCTGCACAGTCCTTTCATTACAGAAACAGCTGCTAGCACAGTGCTAGCTATGGGTTTGTCAGAGTTTCCATTATAAACCCCTATTTTCAAGGACTTGCTGCAACTTAGCAATAAAAATTTACTCCAAACTCAGACTTGGCATAAATGGTCTCTAATGGGAGAATGAATAGTTAAACAAAAGAAATTCACTATCGCTCTGGAGACGGTTTCTTCCAAGTTTATATTACATCCCTTTGAAACACCAGGCTCCAGGGCAACTGCCTTGTTTGCTGCCCCACCCCCCAGTCAGCGGGCTGGTTGGTAGGCACTTGCCTTATGCTGCAATCCTGTGAGATTTCACTGGTTAAGCAGAGTGGTTCCATACTAGGTTGGGAAAACTCTAAAGAAAACCCAAGGGCTGAAGGAAGTGATGATGTGATTCACTAAGCGGCATCCTTTCCTCTGAGTCAGTCCTAAACAAAAGCTCGCGCATAGTGTTAGGAGAACTGCACCTTTGGACTTGCTGTCATTCAGAGGAGGTGGAAATCAAACATCCTGTCCACTCCGGTCACAAAAAACCCCATAGCATTTCTTGTGGGAGTACAGGTTTTTTAGCCCCAGAGCTCTGGCCAATGTCCAACTTATGCAACTACATTATGTATACCTAAATTCCCACCTTAGTCTCCTATTACATGAGGCGGGGGGGTGGCCTAGGGGCCTAATGTGTCCCCCTGCTTGCCTGGATCCTCTATGTGAATCTGGCCTCCTCCAGTTTTAAACTGCCCAGCTACCCTCTCACGCTTTGCTATGTGGCACATTCACCCAAGAACGTCAGGATCACATTTAGAACAGGATTTGGGAACTTGAGTAGTAGGAAAAACTACGTCCAGCTTACCTTTTAATTAAGACCTTATTTATCCCCTTTGATAACTTTCTTCTTCTGGTACATAAAGTAGTTGTCACCAGAGAAGAGTCTGAAGTGACCTTTCTCAGTGCTCCATTAATAACAGACTCTAATGGCTCAGAATGTCCCAAATGAGAAAAAGCCACCTTTGCTTTTCTCCCAAGAATTTACTTCTAGGTTGTTTATTTCATAGCACATACGGTTTGGCTTTATTCTACCACAGCAGACATGCTTTGAATGTCTCAGAGGGCTAGTCGTATTAGTCTATAACTTGAAAAATAACGAGTAGTCCTGAGGCACCTGAGAGACTAAAAAATATATATATAGTATCGTGAGCTTTCATTGGCAAAACCTACTTCTTCAGATGAGATGATCTTGAGTTCGATGGTTTGATTGTTTTAGCTCTCCCATGCTGCTTTTCTTTCTGTAATGATGAATTACCATTAAAATTCTGACAAAATTCTGAGCCAAGATACCCACAAAGGGAAGGTATCATGACTGGAACTCCTTATTGTTACTAGGGTCCTGTTTTGAGCCACTGTAGCATTAGTCCCTTCTGCCAGATTGTCCTATAAAACATGATATTGACAGACAGTAGAAAATTCCTACTGAAGTCCTCTGAGATGGCCAAGATTTTAAAATCTTGCCTTTGCTTTCAGACAAGTACACTCTATACAGAGTGCTCAGTAGCATTGCCATTGATTACAATGTTCATGCTTGTGTAATACCAGCTGATGTCAGATTTCTGCACTGTTTCATTCTGAAAGTTCCAATGTGTCCATTTGCATTTTCCACAAGTAAAAAGTTCTCTGAAAACATCCACTCAACATGCAGCAGCAGTCAAAGAAGATAATAGAACCATTAGGAAAGGGATAGATAATAAAACAATACTTATAATGCCACGATATAAATTCATGCCACATCCACGCCTAGAATATTGCCTGCAATGTTGTTTGCCCCCTCCTCCCCCCAAAAAGTACTAGAATAGGGAAAGTTGCAGAGAAGGACAATGAAAATGTTGGGTTATAGAAAAAACGACACACTGTTCAGTTTAGAAAAGAGATTATTAAAAGGGAGAATATGATAGAGGTCTGTAAAATGATGCTGTTGTGAGGAAAATGAATAGGGAAGTGTTATTTACCTTTTCACATAACACAAGAAATAGAGGATGAAAATAGACTTATAGACTTTAAGGTCAAAAAGGACCATTATGATCATCTAATCTGGTCTCCTGCACATTACAGGCCACAGAATCTCACCCACCCACTTCTGTAAAATATCCCTAACCTCTGTGTACATTACTGAAACCCTCAAATCATGGTTAAAAGACTTTGTTACACAATATTCACCATTTATACTAGTTTAAACCTTCAGGTGACTTGTGCCCCATGCTGCAGAAACAAACAAACAAAAAAAAGCACCAAAGGTGGGGGGGGGGGGCTCTCTGCCAATCTGACCCAGGGAAAATTCCTTCCCAATCCCCAAAATGGAAATTAGTTAGATCCTGAGCATGTGGGCAAGACCCACCAGGCAGATACATTGGAAAGAATTTGCTGTAAGTAATTCAAAGCCCACCCCATAATAGGCAGCAGGTTTAAAATAAACATAAGGAAGTACGTCTTGTACTACTTGTTCACACAACACTCAGTCAACCTGTGGAGCTCAATGCCATGAGAGGTTGTGAAGACTGAAAGTATAACTGGATTCGAAAAAGAGTTAAATAAGTTTATGGAGAATAGGTCCATCAACGGCTAAGCCAAGGCAATCAGAGATGAAACTTCATGTTCTGGTGTCCCTGAAACTCCAGGCTATGTCTACACTCACAGCTTCTTGCATGAGAAATATGCAAATGATGCTAAGCGTGGAATATCACCCAGCCTTATTTGCATACCTAATGAGCTGCCATTTTTGCAGAAGAGGCTCTTGCACCAGAAGGAGCTGTCTACACTGCCCCTTCTTGTGCAAGAAAAACCCTCTTGCGCAATGTCATTATTCCTGAAAATAATCAGCATAGCGGTATTGCGCAAGAGTGTTTTTCTTGTGCAAGAAGGGGCAGTGTAGACAGCTCCTTCTGGCGCAAGAGCCTCTTCTGCAAAAATGGCAGCTCATTAGGTATGCAAATAAGGATGGGCGATAGTCCATGCTTAGCCTCATTTGCATATTTCTTGCACAAGAAGCCGCGAGTGTAGACATAGCCCGATTCCAGAAACTGGGACCATAGTGAGGAATGGATCACTGGAATTTACCCTGTTCTGTTCATTCCCTCTGAAGCATCTAGCGCTGGTCGCTATCAGAAGACGGACGATTCTCTGACCCAGTATGCCATTCTTACATTATATTTATTTATAGCTTGCCTTTTTTCAAACATTTCTTTCACAGGTGTTTAAAAGTGCTCAGATAGAATGTATTTCAAGTGAATACCCTCTGGTGTAAATCTATGTACCTTAAGACACCATTTGATACTTCCAAGCACAATTAGAATATGTGAATATTATGCCATCTATCATACTGATAACAGGCAAAAAATGTTCCTTCCCACTGTAAATAGAGCTGCTAATTTTTAATATGTTTCTTCTTCCAATGTGAGATACTAAACATTTCCATCTGGGATCCAACCCAACTGCGGAGCAAGAGCAGCAGCATCCAAAGTAGCAGTCACAGCAGACTTTGATGTCAAAGTTCAGTTCCCAATGCTATCCTTCCTGTTGTTTATATGTGATCAGGGAAGTAAAGAATTTGGAAAAATAGTCAGATACATCAGGGTAAGGCATTATAATCACCTGAACATCCCTCTGGTGCAGGGATAGGGAACCTCAGGGCCAGATGCAGGACCTGGCTTCCCTGGATCTAGCCCCTAAGGCTCATAGCCCACCCCACCCCACCCTCCACCCCCACTATTAGGGAGCCCACACTGGTGCTCCAGTCCCCCTGCTACTTTACCATGGGGCTGGAACACACAAAATCTACTAGGTTGCCCCCCCCCCCAGGCTCTGGTGTGTGAGGGGAACGTGGGGAGTATTTCTGTTTCTCAGTCAGGGGCCATGTCAGCGAGAGTTTTGTTTTGATTTTCCTTTTTTTTTTTTTTTTTTTTTTGACTTGTGTGTGGCCCTGACTGATTTTTCTGTGGGTGGGTGGCTCCTCACCCAAGAACGGTTCCCCACCCCTGCTCTGGTGGATAAGCATTAGTGCTGAATTAACATTTTTTATTTTGCCTCAAGTATAAATGTGTGACCTTGTAAGCAACTTGCATGTGAGCAACTGATAAAGCAGAACACCAACAAATTAAGGCAGAAAATTACAAACACACAGGTTCCCAGAATGTGGCCCCTGGACCACTTGTTTGATCTACCAGAGTATGTCTGCTCTACAGAGGAAAATTGAAGCTGCCACTCTCAATCTTCTAGGGTTCGAATTAGTGGTCTAGTTAGAAGATCATTTGAAGTGAGAGGGACATTCCAGCCAATGCTGGTAACCCTGCTTTCACGAGGAGTAAGGGAAGTTGAAGGAAGAGTGTTCTTCCTTCGACTTCCTGCAGGTTACGTCTAGATTACATCCCTCTGTCAGCAAAGGGAGGTAAATGAGGCACTTAGAAAGTATGCAAATGAAGCGTGGGATATTTAAATCCCCACTTCATTTGCAATCACATAATGGCGCTCTTTCAAACAAGTGCCATTTCGAAAGTAAAACCGCAGTCTAGACCTCGAAGTTTACAGGATCTTTTGAAAAAGCCTGCCATTTTCGAAAGAACCACGTCTAGACCATGGTTTTACTTTCAAAATGGCGCTTGTTCAAAAGAGCTCCATTACGTGATTATTCAAATGAAGCATGGGATATTTAAATCCCTGCTTCATTTGCACTTTCAAAGTGCCTCATTTACAGCCTTCTGCCGACAAAGGGATGTAATCTAGACTCAGCCGCAGTGTAGATGGCGCCAGAAGCCGAGTTTAGCTACTTTGACTTCAGCTATGCAATTAACGTAGCTGAAGTTGCGTATCTTAATTCGACTTTGTCCTGTAATGTAGACATACCCCCAGAGAGCTCGCTACTCAGATGGTGTGCTGGCTTTCTTCCTGGTTTCCAGTTGAATGAAACACAGCCAATGGAAGGGGAAGAGATGAACAAAACAGCAAAAAACGTTACTGCGGTTAACTTTTTCAGAAAAGGTCAATACACTTATTACAGTAAAGACAGTGTTAAAGAGAGGCACAAAATATTTTCTCAATATGACTTTTCCATGTAACATAAGTGGCCACAGGGATGTTATATAATCATGGGAGGTGCCCATGAGGCAATCTTAGTAGTAAGATGTGGTGCCTGTTATAGGAAAGTTTGAGAACATCTGCCAGAGTGCAAATAGATTTCCCTGTCCTATTAGCACAGTAAAATATATCCTGTCAATTTCAGCAGATTTTTTTTCACAGATCCCACAAGCAAAAGAGAAAAATGTTAACTTCCATCTGTCCTACATACAGGTGTTTTTCATATTGCTCAAGAGAGAATTGATTTACCCAGACCCTAGCAGAAGACAAACATAGGACAAAACATACAGTACCATATGCTCCCTCGGCTAATGTGCCACATGTCAAAGAAAAGCCATGCGAATTAACAGTGTTTGACATGTGCCAAATGTGACTAAGTGAGATTATGCCAATAATTAAACATGGATATATACTGCACCACAGTGTTTGAGAGATCCCCTGTGCTTACAATGAGAACTATTCCAGCGAAGGACTTGGGGTCCTTAACTAAAGCCCATTAAGGTCCATAGAAGGACTCACATTGATAGGCTTTGGATTAGCCTCTATTGGAGGTGGTGCTGGTTACACTGTCTAGTATTACATTTGCCTAAAACTTCCCATTATAAGATCCTTTTTTAAGTTGCTTAAGTCACTGTTCAGGGACACTGCACCTCTTCTATGGTCCCACAAGGACATGCAGCTTTGAGCTTTCATCTCTCAGCCATCACTTCTCTTGGCCAAAGACCCGCACCTCTCTCCCTCTTGACCAAGTTTTCGCGAGGCTGCACACTTCCTCGCCTACACTGTGTTATCCCCATCCTGCCTAAACAGGCCTGCATCTGCATGTTTCTGTCTTCTCAGAGGCTACAAACAGTTTGCAATTGCCCACGCTTATAAGCTGCCACACTGCTCTTTCTAAGCAAGCACATTTATTCTTAGGGTGCAAAGAAAGTATATCAAAAACAGTAACAGAACCTACTCACATGCTCATAAACTTATCAGAGGTTATTGATTCCTTCTATGGGGCCTTCATAGGCCAAAGTCCTTCAAACCATTCCCAGGAAGTACTGGGGCCCTCCTCGGACAGTAAGTCCAGCCCATGTGCTGTGTCAGAAAGAAGGCCCTGACTCAGTTTAAACTCAGGCTATTTATCCAAAAGCACTTTCTTTGTATGTTGGTCTCTGG